ACACAAGGAACAAAGGAATAAAGGAATACAGATGTACTATATTAACAGTTTCGAAGGAACTTTGTGCGTCAGAAGACCAATGAAATGGAATGTCCTTTTTTAAAAGTCTTGTTAAAGGCTTGGCAATCTTGGCCATATTGGGAATAAATCGCCTATAGTACCCTACTAGTCCTAAAAATTGTTTAACGTTCTTCCTAGTCCTAGGTATAGGAAACTGTTTCACTGCCCGAACTTTCCCTGGATCCGGTTTTACGCCCTCACTAGAAATCTTATGCCCTAGATACGCTATCTTCTTCTGTAGAAATCGACACTTTTCAGGTTGAAGGGTCAACCCAGCACTCTGTAATCGTGCTAAAAAGGTTTTCAACTTTCGCGCATGCTCCTCGAGCGAGGCTGCATAAATTACAATGTCGTCCATATACACTAAGACTTCGATGCCTTGTAATCCAGATAACACGAGATCCATAACCCTTTGGAAGGTGGCTGGAGCATTTTTCAAGCCGAATGGCATCCTATTAAATTCATATTGGCCATAGGGAGTAGAAAAGGCCGTTTTCGATTTAGATGCGGGATCCATAGGAATCTGATGAAAGCCAGAAGCCAAATCCAACGTGCTAAAGTACCTAGCTCCTCCTAACTGATCCAGTATATCGGTGATATTCGGAAGGGGGTAGGCATCCGCTACAATTTTTTCATTTAGCTTCCGATAATCGATGACCATCCTCCAGCGCGGTTTGCCGGAGGAATCGGGTTTTTTAGGAACGATCCATAAGGGTGAGTTATAAGGGGATGCAGATGGCTGAATAATTCCATCCCTAAGAAGAGAATTTACCTGAGTATTTATTTCATCTTTATGAATCGGTGGGAATCTATACTGCTTTGTATTTATAGGAGTATTGTCCGTTGTGATAATAATATGATGAGGGACATTGGCCATTTTCAGCTTATCCGACGGAAGATGAAATTGGTACGGCAACTTGTTAATAATTTCTAGAATACTGGTTTTTTCCTCCTCCTGCAGATGACTGAGATTTAAATGTTTCAGCAATTCACTGGATCGCTGAGCCTCATCTGTCGATTTATCCGCCGTGGGATTCGCTGTTTTTGAAAAACGAAATGCGAGAGGTTTAGAAATAAATTCTTCTAACTCAATTTGGGGTACAGTAAGTGTAATATAATCACTTGTAGTGTTAATGACGAACAATTTAACAAAACCATTTTGCTGGGTTGCCAGGACTTCCCCCAAGAATACACCAGGACCAACATCAATCCTCCTAACGTAACCTGACGTATTACTACCCCTCGTTGGGACCGAAATTAACACCTTGTTTCGCGGAGGCAAATCAAATGAAGAAAAGACAGGAGCACACGAACTCTCCCCGCCTAACTCCACAAGACATGGAAAATTTTCCCTAAATCGGAGGGTAGCTCGCTGTCCCTCCAGAAATGAAACTCCTAATATTCCGGCCTCACTAATTGGAAAGTCATCGTTAACTACTTGGAAATGGACTGGAATGTTGTATAAAAGAACGACGATTTCACCTGAAGTTTGAACTGTTCCCGAGCCAATACCGGTAAGATGATAAATCCTATCTACTGTTCAGAGCACGAGAGAAAAGTAGCGGGACGGTAACGGGGCAAAGAGGGTAGGCCGCTAGGACCACCTAATCCCCACTTTTCGACTCACGCGTAGCTTCCACCGTTCATCCGTAATAGTGTGGTTTTACATAGGTATAGAAACAGATATTGCTACTATATGTTAAAAAACTCTACCTTTTTCCTCTTACGCGATGCGTAAAACTTTTGGACACTACGACAATGGAATGCCGCTCAACGTATCGCTCGTTCTGTCTCTCTTGTTCTACATATATCTGACCCACTCTCCCCGTCACGCGACCGATTAGTGTATGTGTGCGCCTCGACAAATAGCGTGTTGTTGCCGAAAATGCGTGTGACAATAGGCGGCAACGTTACAATCCGACCACTGCGATGCTCTTTTCGTCCCTCTAGCCCCGTTCCCGTCCCGCTACTTTTCTCTCGTGCTCTGGACAGTACGTTAACGGGTAAATCAAATTTCAATTCCTTTTGTTTAATCAAATTTAATTGAGACCCTGTATCCACTAGGAACCTAGCTGATCCATCCCGAAAGTGTTCGTGTACTAACGAAATTACCGGAGACTGCGTTTTACGACCTAAATCGGTTTCGCGGCAGACGCGGTGGATCCGGCGCGGGAAATCAGGGGTTCCCTCGCTATCGCGCCCGTTGCAGCGGCCCCTTTTGAGTTTAAAGAATTTTCCCGGTTTTCGAGAGTCGAAGAACGTGCAGACGGTGGATTTTCTATCAGTGTGTGGTAAGTGTTCTTTCTGTAACACGATTGCTCTCTATGACCCGATTTACCACACTTCCGACATCTAAATGTCGTATCGCGATTCGGATTTACAAAGCGACGGCCCCCTCGCGACCAACAATCTGCGCTAATATGACCCGTCCTACCGCAATTAAAACACTTACATTTGCGCGTTTCCGTGGTGACTAAAACTTTTGAATTGTCCCCAAAAACATTAAGATTCCCTGATGATTTAGGAAAATCTAATTGTTCTTCAACTTGAGAGGCTAACCTTATAGCTACCTTTAATTCCTTGACTCCATCCTTGGAGATGCTACTCGCGATAATATTATTTCTTAGTCCCCTTAAAAACCCGGTTACCGCGCTCTTCATAAGCAATTTCCTAACCCCTCCAAGCTCTTCCGAACTTAACTCCTCTTTCGCTGCCTGCTCCCCGCGATCTAAAATATCACTAACCCGGAATCCGAACTCCTCAGTCGTTTCATGTTCGCGGCGATATACTGCTTTTAATTCGTTATGGATATTATTCACATCAAAGCTTTGGGCAAACGCAGATTTTATCAATGAAATTAATTCTTCTACAGTCTTTAAAATATTGTCCCCCACTACACTCCTATAAACCCGGTGTTCCATACGATTACGAATTATTTCTAATAGAAGGGTTTTGTCCTCCGTTTTAACTAATGCATCTGCGCGCCTACATTGTGCAATAAAATCATTAACTCGGGACGGTTTCCCATCAAAATGAGGGATAAAACTCTTAATAATATCATATTCCATCCGAGAAATAGGTCTTGAAAATTCAGGTGTAATCGAGTCCTTAACAACATTATTAGAAGGTTGCAACAAAACCTACCTGAATCTGGCACCCGACTTTCAAAAATTTTATTTCTTCCAATTGCATCGTACTTA